TCTTTATGATATTATTATTTATTAGATAATATTTTGATATTTTTTACTGATTATTATCTGAGATGTAACAAATTTTATGGCTATCTTAAATATATCGGCTTATTTTACTTCTTTCTAATCTTATAGCAGCCGCCAGCTATCGATTAGATGATTGCTTGATGATATTTGGTTTATATTTTTGATTTTGACTAGTGTCTGGCCCCATAGCTATGCAAACAGACTGATAACAAGTTCGAGTTTACTGGGTGATGAATGGCTCTGTCAGGATCACAATTGGCTAAGATCTTTGGAAGATTTTTTATTAAAAAATGAAGAACAAGATTTGTACAAGTTGCACAGGTCTATATAAAGTTTTTAATAAATAAATTATAATAATTTTTTAAAAAATAGTGTTTATAAAAAGAGTATGACTATATAGGAGATGATTATAAAAGAGGATAACTATACTATATTAATATAAGTTAAAATTTATACTAAATACTAATTATAAAACTATCTTTAAAACAATATAGCTATTAAATTTTATAATTTTGTAAATATTAATATTGTTTTTTAATATTTTAATATTTTAATACAGGTTACCCATTAATATCAACCTCGTTAATATCAATCTAAGCCACAAAACAAATTTTTATAAATTTTTATATATCAAAATTCCCTTATATATATCAACTTTAATATGATTTCTCATTAATATCACTATTACATGATTTAAAACCAATTCAAATAGGTTGATATTAACGAGGGTAACCTGTATTTTAATATTTTAATATTTTAATATATTATATTTTAATATAGCAATTTATTTAATCTTTATTTAATCAAATAATCAAAATAAAACAATTTATGAATAAAGACTAATATTATTAAATATATTATAGACATCAAATACTATAATTGTTATATTTAAAAATAAGCTAAACTAATTATATTTAAACTTTTAAACAAAATATTTAATATATATTATATTTTATGCTAATATAAAATTGTTTTTAATACTAATCCTATTTAGCTAAAAATATTAAATGATAATAGCAAAATTATAGTGTTAATGCTATAATATATTTGATAAAACTTTATTAACAAGATTTATTGCTTATCTTGTTGATATTCTTCTAATTCTAATGTTTTGCAATAATTATTACAAACATGTGTTTTAAAAAAATCTTCAATGCCTTCTTGATATCTATTTCCAACAGAAAACTGTGCATCGTAAGTATTATAAGAAGTATGAAGCTTAGGATCTGTAAAATAATGATTATTTCCTTGCATATCAACAACTATTGCCTTGTTTTTTGAATAAGTATAACTAAAATGTAAAAAAGTTTGAATCTAATTAAAATCATCAGAAATAACAGTTTTATAACCATTATTTCCGTTATACTTATGAAAAGAACCTTCCAAATAATTTTCAATTGTATAAAATTGAATTAATGTAGCTGGATCAGTTGATTGCAATAAAAATGTTTGTACAAAGCTATAAAATATTTAATTATTAATTAATATTAAATAAAATAATAGTTTATAAATATTAAAATTATCTATAATCTGTTGATTCCAAAAATCCATTTTTAATCATAATATGATTAAATTTTTTAAAATATAATTTTGCAGTTTCAAGTGTAATAATATCTTTTCTATAATTTAGTTCAACATTAAGTGCTCATTTAATATATTGTTTAACAACCAAATTTTTTTTAGTATTAAAAAAATTTGATGTTGTTGCATTTTGTTGAATAGTGCTTTAAATGCTTTTTTCATCCACCTAAATTATAAATAAAAAATATTATATAATAAAATTTATAATATATAAATATAATAATTTAAATTTACGCGAAGGACCAAGATAATGACGGTCAGACCAAACGTATATGGCAGACTATGGAATCCTTTGCAGCTGTAAGAACCGAGCTTAAAATGGCAAGCGACCCTTCAGAAGAACTTCCATCCAAGTTATCATCAACATCATAGACTTCTATGACTTGGAAATATGCTATAACAAATTTCTTGCCTATTACAAACTCCCTCTACTAAGAGAACCACAA